CAGCTGGGCTGTTCGAGTCTCTGTCTGGAATCCAGTGCGGAATGCGAAGAGGCAGCCAGAGTGTGCCGGTGCTGGCTGCCCTTACAGAGGCCCGGCTGCCCGCTGCGCCTGTGCTAAGTGCCGCGAGAATACTAATTCAATCCTCATGACACTCTGGGAGTAGGTGACCGCATCAGTTCTTTACAGACGATGGAACCAAGCCCCAGACATGGGCAATGCAAGGACATGGAGCTGGCCAGCGTGGGAGCTGACACAAGGGCCCCAGCTGGCTGCTTCAGCAGTCTGCATCCCCCCCTCATTTGCGTAAAATTAGACTATGTGCACACACAAGAGACACAGATAATTTTTTTAATTGCCTTCGAATTAAAAGATGCCCATGATCTTAGTCACTTTCTCATTGCTGAGACACAATTCCCGACACCCACACCTTAAAGAAAGACAGATGTCTTAATTACTTTTCTCATTGCCGAGACAAAATACCCGACACCCAAAGTCAAAGGAGGAAAGGTTTATTTGCTCACAGTCTGCAGAGGTTCAGTCCATAGTCGGCTGGCTCCAAGGCAGGGTGGCCTGGCAGAGAGGCATCACAGAGGGGAAATGGTTCATGGCAGGCAGCAGGCAGCAAAGCAGTGAAGTAGGGAAGCAGCAGGGAACAAGCATCGAGGACAGCTTCCCCTGTCCGTCCCTTATATTCTATCCAGACTTCAGAGCCTCAGGAGAGGTAGCACTCACACCAAGGGTGAGGCAACCTCAATCTTAGCCTCGAACCACGACTCAATCCCAGCATCACATCCTTAATCCCAGCATAGCACGCTCTAGATCCAGCCACCTCTGAAAAGCCCCACCTATGACCACATGAAGCTTTGGGCAACATCTAGACACAAGCTATAAGAAGAGGTTTATTTTGGCTCTCACTTTGTGGAGGTTTCAGTCCATGGTCAGCTGGCTCCATGCAGAGCGGCCTGGTGGAGGAGATGGAGCTCATGGTATGGTGGACGAGGATCCCAGAAGGGAAACACTGTAAAGCCTTCTAGGCCACAGCCCCAGTGGCCGCCTCTTGAACCAGGCCCCACCTCCCAACAGCTCATCAGCTCTAAGCACCATCATCCAGTCACCTGGCTACAGCCTCGGCTATGCATGCTTGAGGCTTCGGGGGATGCCAGGTCTAAACCACGGCACCCACTGAGCACATCAGCCTGCCCATCTGTGGAGAAGGGCAGGGTAAAAGTGGGAGACCAGAACAAAAAGAAAGATTATATGCAACAAATGCATGAATAAATGAAAACAAGAGTGGGGGCATGCAAGCCCATGTGCAGCTGTGATGTGGACGGGGTGAGTGTGCACAGCCAGCCCTAGGAGGGGACACAACACAGGATGGCGGCTCTCTGCGTGGCAAGGGCATGGGACAGTTCTGGGCCCAACCGAGCATCACTGCAGCTGTGCGAGACCAACTTGCTGCTGGATACTGGATGGAGAAGCTGGATGCCGCCGAGCCTAGCCAAACACACGAACAGTGCTCCATGCCTTCTGACTGAATTCACGGGTGGACAAATACTGAACAAGAGGGCGCTCCCTTCCCGAGAGGCTACGGGCCAGGTAGTAAGGGGCGCGGTGCCTTCCAAAATGGGTGGAGGCAGCTGTCCAAACAGATTTTAAAAAGAAATAAAGAAAACTATTGCTTTTTGGGTAAAATTTAGAATATAAATCTTTGAAAGAACATTTTCAAGAGTTATTAGCAACAATGCCTGTACATTAAATTCATGGGTGGGGCAATCAAATGTCCAAATAGATTCTATCTCCCATTAAATTTTCTGCCCCTTGGAGGGTAGGGGCACCCAATATTTAACACTCAATCAAAATAAGGAGCTGATTTTAAATGGTGATGTAGACTAAGCATACATCCAGCCAAAATGATGATCTTAAAAATAGCTGTTTGCTTTTCACTCTAGACAGAAAGAGACCCTAAAACCTGACCCTCATCTCATCGCTGGTGCAAATGCTAAGTTAATATGTGCTTCTGGAAGATGCCGTAATAACATCTGCAGAGAAATTTAAACATTGAGCACCCAGGGATATTGCAGGCGCTGTGTACAAGACAAGTTTTCTAAGCCTGGAGCAGCACCTTCCCTGGTCTCTGTGTGCCTTTGACCGAGAAACTCTCCACGCATCCTTCAAATCACCTCTTTTCAGTTATTGCTAAGAAAGATCAGCTCCCAGCATACCGCAAGGGCTTCCCATCCCAAGTTGTTTGAATCATATATAAAATCCCACCTCACTGAGCATCTGGTCAAACGGCAATTTCTCAAAGCTGAGGAGAGACCCAGCTACCTCTGCCAAGGCCCTGGCCCTGACAGTTTGGCTGGTAATGATCACTTCCTTGGGAAATCCACAGCCGCAGATGTGGTTATGCAATTCCAACCAAAGGGCAGGGGAGTCGCCCTGGAATGCAGGAGCTATGTATCCTCACCAAGGGCCTTGGGACCATGAAATTCTAGGGTCTAGCTCAGGGACGAGACTGGAGGGAGAGGCCAGGCAGGGACCACTGCCACTTGGGGACAGAGCAGCCCACCCACCACTGCCAGTGAGCTGTAGCCTCAGAGACAGGGCCGAGTCTCCACAGGGCATGTAGTGTGGGGCACGGCCGTCCTTGCACGGGGCTGAGGCCTCCCTCCTCTGAGTCCCCTGCCGTGCTGAGCCCTTTAGCTCCTGACAGGAGCAGACACCAGAAGAGGGACTTGAGAGGGAGAAGCAGCTCGGAGACAGGAACAAAATAGAGGATTTTTCATATTAATAGAGTTGTGTTTTATTTCCAAGGAGGGAAAATTGGGAAGTAAAATAGACAAGAAGCATATTTCCCCAAGGGATGGATGCACACACTTCCTGTGTCCAGCAGCCCCCTGGGCAGTGCGTGTCCACTGCGGTTAGGCTGTGCATGTGGAGTCAGACAGGTCGGGGATTGAATGCAGCTGCAAGGGAGCTGGCCCAGTCACTTAACTATCTGTAAATTATAATACATCGGGACATCATGTCCTTTGCTTCTGATCCAGTTAATTTCTCTGGGATTCTTGCCTCACACATCTCTGGCCTTCTGACACCAAGAAACTGAGCTGAGATTTGGAAAACAGGTGCTGAAAGAGAATTACTTTAGTACAACAAGGAAGGGCCTGAATCACACTAGGCCCAGGAACAGCTGCTCCCCTGCCCCACGTGTGTAAGGGGGAGCCAGCTCCCCACTAAGCCACATGGTCTACACCCCTTTCCTGCCTGTCCCATCTCTCAGTCTTCAGAACGGTCCTCATTTCATTCTGTACATAGCTGAGTTGAAGGAAATGCTGGCTGATTATCAAGAAGGCATTAATACTGAACAACCTCAGCTTCCTCAGGGTTTTTTCCAGTCAGTCCCTTAAGCAAATGTCTGTAGGACCCCACATTATTTTCCTATGGCTGTTGTAACAAACTGCCACAAGTGTACGTGGTGTAACAGCACCAGTCTACTCTCGGTTCCACAAGTGTGAAAATGGAGGTGTTGGAGTGGCCACCTTCCTTCCCAAGCTTTGGACAAGAGTCAGGTCCTCATCTTTTCCAGGACCTAGGGCCTCCTGCGGGCCTTGGCTTATGGCCACTTCCTCCCTCTTCACAGGACGTTGCTCTGACCTCTCTGAGCTCCTCTTTCTGCTCTGCCACGAGTGTCTGTCTTTTATAAGGACCTTGTGAAGACACTGGAACCACCCAAGTGACCCGGGATCCTCGGCCTATCTCAAGATCCTTATCATACTGCTCCCCGTGAAACTGAGGCCCTGGCAGGCTAAGTGACCTGCCCGAGTCACACAGAAGTGGACCTGAGATTAGAACTAGGTAGCTGGGCTCCAGAATCTGCTCACAGCCACGATGATCTCCTCCCCAACCACCAAAACAGTGCTGTCACTGATGTCGCAAGGGCTGTCTGACTCATGGCATGCCAGGCCTGGTGTCCAAGTAGGCATAGAGGAGCTCGGAATGGAGGGCTTCAGGGGTGTTCCTGGCAGGACACAACTGCAGAGATCACTGGGCAGGGACACGATGGGCTCCTTCAGGACCACAGATGATGGGATTGATACTGACTTCAGAAGAGAGGACTGTCCAGAAGTGGATAATGAAAATAGGAAGTGCTGGTCACTTCTGCTCAGAAGTTGACTGTCAGCAATCAGTTAGGGGGCAGGAGGTGGTAAACCCAGGGCCTGTGAGTGTCCCTCTATGCATATGGGTGAATGCCACAGGTCTGAAAAGATCCACGAAGGTCCGTGGCAGTGGAGGGTAAGACCCAGACATGGGCCTGTCCCCGTGGAGCTTGCAGGCTCAGGGGACACTGGCAGAAAGCAAGACAAGGATGGCTCCCTGCTGTGGACCTTGTTCCGAAGAGGCAAACCTAGAGACAAGGAGGCTGGCTGGAGGTGAGTGCATAAGCTCCTGCACCCTTGGACGGCCCCTGGGGACGTCTGGGGAGATTATGTGCAAGAGTTCAGTGCCACCCTTGGGAAATATGGAGTTTAGGAAGCTTCCTGGAAATGCCAGTGCAGAAGATAAGGGCCAACTGCAAAGGTGAATAGAAGGACAGAGTGTTCCAGTAAGAGCACTGCTGACCACATTTCCTAGAATTATGTGTGCATTTGCCCCCCACCTTGGGTAGATTCCTGTGGGGCAATGATTAGTTCTTACTCATCTTTTTATTCAACTAATGTTTCTCAAGCATTGCTCCATGTGGGCTGGACTAGAAAAATCTACCATCAAGAAATACAAAACAGGGCTGGGGATTTAGCTCAGTGGTGCTGTCACCTGCCTCACAAGTGCAAGGTCCTGAGTTTGACCCTTGGCACAAAAAAAAAAAAAAATAGAGAGAGAGAAAGAAAAAGAAATACAAAACTAAGATATAAAGGAGGCAACTGTTCTACCCCTTCCTAGCTTCTAGAGAAATGGCTGCTAGCAAAGAATGACCAATACAAAACTCTTAGCAACTTTAAAAGTTTCCAGTGGTATAACTTTAAGTGAGTGAGGCTTTTGAACAATTTCATTATTCTTTTACAAAAGAAAATATACTAATTTTTAAAAATATCAATTTGTATGGATTGTAGAGCAGTCAGTAAGTGTAATCACATTATACATGCTAATTTAAACATATATTTTAAAAACCAACAATATGCTATGGACACCATTTATATCCATAAATGTATTTCTAGAATGTTCTAGACTGCCATATCAGATTTGACTTTCTTTAGCCTAAGTAAACCCAATGACCTTTAAATAAGATTAATACAAGCACATATTTGCTTTCTATTTTCTTCATACTCTTCAATACTTCTTGCATTATCTTTCAAGTTGGATGATATTTTTTTTCCAATCTTTGCTCATGCTGTAACCAAAGCAAAAGCACAAGATATCAGGGTTTTGCAGGGTTAAGTCAGTCCTTCGTCCTTACGGCCTCCCATGTCTGAGAATAAGTTCCAACCAGAGCTGACTTCACCCTTGGACACAGGGTCCTGCTCCAGTGACATTACACTGACATTTGTTGGCCATTTGGAGGCCGCTGTCAGCAATGGCCTTCAAAGAGAGGGTTTCCAAGTTGTTGGTCCTGAGTTCGCTAAACTTAATTTTTGCTTGGTTTCCAAGGATTTAAACCAAAATATGTACCAATTTCTCTGGGCAGCCATGCCTCTAATGACATGCATCTGTAGGGACATTGTTTCTCCAATTCCATTTCACCTATTGCTTCTACTTGCAATTGTGGGGCCAGCAATAATCACTCAGCACTACCCTGACAGCGCTTGTGGTGGGAAAGGGAGAGAAACGGAAAACTTATACAAATTGTTACCCATCTACTTCATGGTCACAAATGACCCTCAGGGCCTGAGCTTAGGTCTTCAGCAGGACAAATATGAAAGGTGGGAGGCAGGCAGGACACAGAGAGACAGCTGTGAGGGTCCCCATGCTGGGTGCCTGTTCTTCGTCCTGCTCTGTTCAGACAGCTTCCAGAACATTCCAGTTGCCAGACCCATCGCAGAAACTTCAGGGCAGAAAATTGAATTCCTACCTGCCATTCTGGAAAAGAACTTCAAATGGAAAGCTAACCCTCCAGAACCCCAGTTCTCACAGAGAGGAGCACCCCAGCCCTTGTGCCTTCTCCCCCTGGTGCCACTCCTAAGAGGACAATGTGGTCTCAGAAAGAAAACCCCATGAAACTGGTTCAGATCCCCTCTCTGCCGCTTATGCATCTGAACATGTGTGAGTAATGACACCTCTCTGGGTGTCACACTCCTTGTCTGTGAAATACGGATGACATCAGGTGCAAAACGTGTGTGTGCATCAAATCAAAATGGTGGAATCACTTCCCCTCCTCAGTTTCCCAGCTGTCTGGCCCCACCCTCTCCTTCCTGCCTCTTGGTTTGCTCCAGATGGAGCCAAAACTTCAGACACCATCTCCCACTTCTCTTCTACCCCTCCACAAGGGTGTTCCCCACTGCCACGTGGAAGCCACACTGGGCAAACCCACCAGTGAGCTGGGGATGATTTTCTGTCTTCCTCGCCCCTGCGGAATGGGGAAGCCTAGAGGTCAGCCTCGGACTCTCTCCTCAGTGCTCCTTGGACTTCCCTCTGTGGGCATCTCATAGCTGCATCACCTCTATGAAGGGGCACCTCCGACTGTAGCTCAACCTGACTTTTCCCTGAGCTCCAGGCTGTATCCAACCACAGTCCCGAGTTGCTTACTGCCGGGCTTACACCTCCTGAGAAATGCATCGTTAGTTCACTTCCCCTTCCTGCCTATATCCTAGAGTGTAAGTGAACCAACCAAGATGGCTACCGAACCTTTAGAAGATACAACCCTAGGGCCCCACGTCACACATGCATCCCATCATTAACCAAACGTACCTACGCAGCGCAGGCCCTTATTTACAAGACATCTCTTTTGGATCCTTCTCCGGACATCTCATACGGGGCTCTTTGCATCCTGTGGGTCCACTTTTTGGCTCCAGTAGCTGCTGTGTCCACCAGCTGCACCCAGAAGGGCGGTGTGCCACCTTGGGCTGAGAGCCTGCACACCTCGCGTCTTCTCCCCCAGAGTGAATCCACTGTGAGTTTGGATCCCTGCAGGATCCCATTCCCTAGGCAAGCGAGAGCCTTTCCTCAGGGAGTGAAGTTGCAGGACACACCCTGGAGTGGTCCCTCCTGCTGCCCCACTGCTCCATGCCTGGGATGGCTTCCAGCAGCCCACGCATGTCCCTGCTCCTGCTGCAGAGTCTGCTGCTGAGGGGACCAAGCCACACATACGTGTAGCGGCCCCTCGGAGAGAAGGTGGCTCCGTAGCCCATCCACCGCGCCCCATCTTCATCTTCACATCTCAGACGGAGCCCAGAGCCTCAGCTGCTCCAGGAGCCTCAGCTCCTCACCGCTCACCTGGCCCCGCCGTCCGCCCGCAGATCTGCCCACCTTCCCCTCTCCAGTCACCACAGCTCCTGACTCACCTCCCTGCCACAGCCCGGCCCCTCCCCCCGCCAGCCAGGGGACCGCGTGGGGCCTAAGGACCGCTTGTCGCTGCCATGCCTTTGCCCTCCTGTGGCGCCCATCATACTGGAACCAGAACCAGACCCGATCAGCTCAGCTCCTGACACACCTGCCGCCTCACCGACTTTCCATTGCCCAAACCTGCTGCCTCAGTTGCTTTTCTGGTCGCTGAGACCGAATACCCAACACCCCAAGTTAAAGGGGGAAAGGGTTGTTTAGCCCACAGTGTGTAGAGGTTTCAGTCCACAGTCAGCTGCTCCAAGGTGGGGTGGCACAGCAGAGGGGCAACAGGTCATGGTGAAAAGAAGGCAGCAAAGCAACAAACAAGGGAAGACCACAGCTCTTTCTGTCCCTGCATCTTACCCAGGCTGCTTAGAGTGGGGCGCACTCACACCCCAATCCTCCTGCTCAACCTTAACCCTAGTACCGGGCACTGCACTGTGAATCAGCCCCAGCATCACACACTCCAGACCCAGCCACCTCTGAAAAGCCCCAGCTATGACCGCATGAGGCTTCGGGGGACATCAAGACACAGCCATGACACCTGCCAACCTTCTGCTCTAGATTTTCTGGGTGGATCTGTCCTCTGAAGACGCCATTCAGGCCTGGCCTTCACTCGGCCACCCGCTCTTGTCGAGCAGCGCCCATGTCCTCAGGGGCCCCCTGGATCCCACTGCCTGTCACAGCCCTTGCTTGCTGTGTTCTCCATGCAGACCCCACCACCTGATACGACCGAGCCCACCCAGCCCGCGAGCGGCCCCTCTGAGCGCCGTCCCCCCCCTCGTCCGCATGCACCGTCACGCGCTGTTGTGCCTCCTGAGCCCTCTCGCGTCAGCCTCTGAGGTCAGAGATGACAGCTTCTGTAGTGAAATCTCCTTGGAAAATGAGTCCTCCTGGACAACACGCTCCCGTACGGCTTCTCGGGAGCATTTCCAGCCTCACCCTCCTCACTCTGCAGAGGTGTGGGTGCATTTAGGGTTCATTCACCGAGGTGACACCAGCCATGGAGAGGCTGCTTGAGCCAGGCCCCGGCCCAAGCACAGCAATGCAATGACAAGCCCCATGTGCTTCCCTCAGTGGGACCCGCGGACCTGAGGGGTCACACAGGGCTGCCAGATGCAGCCTGAGTGTGGGAGGAGAAGCATCAGGAGAGCCCTGGGGGAAATGACATCCAACCACAGTGGTCGGATGGGGGTGGAGATTCCTGAGTTACCAGCCTGAGTGACTGAGGTGGAAACACGAGAATTTCATGCTTGGATGCAGAGTCATGTGTTCCACCATCTGCCTTTACTTTCTTTTCTTTTCCTTTCTTTTTCTCTTCCTTTCTTCCTCTCTTTCTTTCATGTTGACAGTTCTTCCAGTTCCCTGCTGTCTGGTTTCCCCGGTGATCGGTCACACATCACGAGGGTGGAGAAGGACTTCCCACAACCCTTGGAGGACCTGCAGGAGCTGCTCAAATGGAAGTCACAACACAGACCTCAGAATCCTGCCTCAGGGACCTGGAAACCTGGATTCCTGCAGCCCATTCCCACACGCAAAAGTCAGGAAGCCCTTGGGGCCTTGATAGTGCGTTCTGGGGAGACAGAGAGTGTCAGCAGACAGCTCCTCAGCACAGAGGCCTGCAGGTCAGGGGACAGGGGCCTTCTGCTGCAGGGTACTCTAGAAGTTCCACCCTGCCCCCTATGCCCCATGCCTGTGTGAGTGACCACAGTGTGACCTCTCTGGGCTCCGCATGTGAGCTCCTGCTGATGCCATGGGCCACACCTACAGCCACAACAGGATCTCACCCCTCCCCGCCCCTGACCAGTCGCCTCAGGCGTGGTGGCTCACTGTGGCACTGCCTGCCAAAGAGGCTCTGAGGGGCCCAGCATCCCCTGCTCCTGGCCCTGCCTCCCACACATGGACCCCCCATCCAGCTCACGGCACAGTGGGCTTGGTGGTCTCTGCTGGAGTCTCTCCACTTCCGTCCACCTGGGGTGCTGAACACCCACCTCGGTGCATGTGATCACTGCAGTGTGATGCTCTGCCTGCGTTGAGTCGCTGTGCTTCACAGGACACACCACACGCTTGTACTGCCCCCCGTGCACGTGTGCACACAAGACACACACCGCAGATACATGCAATGGGTGAGCACATAAGACATGTGAACACATGTACAGTGCAACACATACACACAACACACTACACATACAATACACAATGTGCAAGTGCACACACAACACATGCCCTATGCAACGTGGCACATATATGCACGTAAAATGCAAGTACACATGTAACTTACAACATATGCACACACAATATACAACACGTAACATACATGCACATGGCACATGAACACAGCAGTGCACACGCAATGTACAACTCACACGTGCATTTGGAACCTGGAGCACACTGTATCCATGGCACACATGCACGCACACATGCACACACACAATGCATGTGTGCACCTTCTACATACACACACCTGTCACCCGTGTGTACACACACATCACACATGCACACATATACAACACACACATGGGTTTCCTGCATGCACTCGTGGCCCACACACCCCTCCAGCGCATATGAGATCCATGGCCCCTCCTGACACCTGCTTGCCCTCCCTCCCTCCCACTGCTTCCTGCCTGCTCTCGGGAAAGCTGCGGTGTCCGGCTCTGTCATTCAGTCCTGCGCTCTGCTGCTTTGGGACCTCAGGTAAGTATTCTGTCCCTCGGTTTCCCTTCTATAGAATGTGCATGATCGTGCGCACCTGACGGGTTTGGAGTAAGTACTTCAGAGATGTTGGTGAGTGCTCAGTGCTCTGAGATCCCAAAGTCCTGGCTTCCTAGCTGGACACATCAGACCCCCCCTCAGCAGCCATGGGGGAGCAGAGGTCCCCATGCACAGGCCTCCTGTTGAGCAGTCCCACCCAGGGCATCAGGAGTGAAGCACGAGAAGGCTGGCAGGAGCATCCATTACCAAGCTCTGGAGCAGGCACTGAGGCCCCTGGGTGGTGCCCCTAGAAGCCTGCTGAGCCCTTGGGAGCATGCCTGGAAGGGGGTCGATCCCCTGGCCTTCCCTCCTCAAGGAAGCCACGCTGAACAGAGGCGGCTGCCAGGGCTGCATGTGGGTCAGCAGGCAGGGAAGCCTCGGGCTGATGGGAAACGGGCTCAGGCAGAAGCAGAGGCTGGGGTGATGTTGGGGTACATGCGTGTGAGCCCAGTCTGACCTCGTCGGAAAGGACAGGGGACAGTGAGGTCCCAGGTCTGCGTGGGAGCACAGGAGGCTCTGGCACACCTCGCTGCTGGTCCTCCCACATGTTCCTCTGCTGCGCTTTCTCTCTTCACTTCCGTTACCGCCACATTTCTCTGCCACCCTGTGGGAAGAGTGTGCCGTGGAGGGGCTGCAGCTGCACCAGCACGCCATTCTCCAGGAGATTGGCCGCCGGGCACAGGTACTGACCTCGTGTCGTAGGGGCGGGGAGCTGCGCTGTATGGGGGTGCAGAGTGCAGTGCTCTGAGCACCTCCGCTTACCTCCCAGGGGCGCCATCCCCTCTCTGGAGAGAAGCGGGGGAAGCGGTGGGGCCTCCTGTCTGCGCTCATTTCCCTGCTGTGCCCTGAGGACCACAACCAGCTCCCCCTGGGCACCAGTGGGGCAAGAGTTGGTGCCTGGGCCTGCCTCTTCCCGGGGAGAGCTGAAGCCATGTCTCTGGCACCCAGGCATCTGCTGGCCCAGAGTTCAAGCCCCTGGGCGAGCACACAGAGCTCAGACACAGGCGAGTCCAGGTCTTGACTGCCCCCTGCCTGAGGAAGCTGTGGGGTCCGCTGCGCCGGCCCGGCTGCTCCAAGGCAGGGAGAAGGATGGAGCCGCATGAAGGGACACCAGTGGCCTCTCTGTCCACGTCCTGGGGCACTTTCCAGAGAGGGAGCAGCAGGCTCAGCTCTGTCCGTACCGTCCCTGCATTCTGGGCAAATGACAAATCCTGACCAGCCTCGGGTACAGGGGTACATTTTGCAGCGGCTGGGAGCCAGACGCTCTCTGCTATTGTCTGACTGGGTCCCCCCAAATGCACGGGCTGCACACTTACTCCGGGATGTGACGGTGTGGGCAGCTGAGGCCAGGGCCTCCTGCTGAACTGGCGCCGTCAGTGTCCATGTCTCGGCCACATGTCGCTCTCCTGCCTCTCCCCTGCTGCCCTGGGACAAGGCAGCAAGAAGCCTCCCCCAGATGCCGGAGCCCTGACCTTGGGTGTCCCAGCCTCCGGCCCGTGAGAAAGAACCTCGCTCTTGTCAGTTAGAGGCCTCGGGCGTTCTGTCCTTGCGGCTTCCTCAAGTCAGACTCTGTGTGCCACCCCGACGCTGGGCACTTTGCCTTTAACCTCTCTGCTCCTCTTGCCAAGGTGCCGGCTCTGCATTACCCGTGAGGACACCAAAGGACACTGAGGGGACTTGACTCGCCTAGTGCTGCCACTGGGAAGTGAGCAGCAGAGTTGGGTCTGAGCTGGGGCTTCTCCTTCCCAAAAGAACACAGCCTCGGAGGCTTCCATCTGCACAGAGGCAGGGCCGTGGGGCTGGGACCCTGCAGAGAAACCGGAAGTTAAATTAGCAGGGATGCAGAGGCATAGGGCATCCCCAAGGGCCTTGGGTGTCCCTCAGGGCTGTGCTTACAGCCACCGGGAAAGCGGTCCCTCTCCATCCCTGCCCGAAGGTCAGGTCCACGAGGCCATCCTCCTTTCCTGCTTCCTGTACTGACTGATGAGTGCTCAGGGCCAGGACCAGGGTCTGGCTCACACACACTGACAAAGCGGGAGGAGGCAATCGTCAGCAGTCGGCAGTCGGCTGGAAGGCTGGGCTCTGGCGGAGCTGTGAGGACCGAAATGCCTGACTTTGCCCGTTTCCGTCATAGAATTAACCCAGCAGTGGGTTCTACTGTAGACACCCTACCTCAGGTGTTCCTCTGTCCCTCTGTCTCTCTGTCTCTGAACAGTGCAGCCGTGGGGGTGAGAAATCCCTCGGTACACACAGATCCCTTCTCATTCCGGTACCACCACCTCAGCGTCTCATTAGGGAGGAAACAAACTTTGAAATCACGCCTGCGCACGAAGCCTCTCAAAGCTGGAAATGGAAAACAAGGTTGAAATTGGCCTGGGAAGGAGCTGGAGGAGACCTCCCGCATCTGCTGTCCAGCTCCTCCCAGCACACCGGGTCAGGGGCGCAGGAAGCTGAGCATCATGGGAGCCGAGTGAACCTCCTGCCAGCCCACGCAGTCAGGCTCCAAAACAGCACTCCTGCCAAATGCGTCTGGCTCGGAGCACTGGAACCGCTCTCCTGCCCGCTGCTGGGAAGAGGCGTTCTGGCAGGAGAAAGAGCCCGCGGGGCAAGTCCGACCCACACCCCAGCCCCGGAGAGAGACGGCTGGAACAGGAGCAGCCTGCCGGGCCCCTCCTCAGGGCACTGCTCCTTCACACCACCCTGTGGTCACCCGGCGATCCTGGGCACTGCCCATGGCCAGCCGTTGGCTCTGTGCATTCATCTCACAAATGCCCATCTCCCAGCAGCCACTGTGAGTGTTTCCTGTAGAAGAACTGTGTACAATCTGCTAAGTCAGACAGATGGGGAGCCTGAGGCACAGATTAAGGAGCTTGCCTGAAGCCACACCACCCAACCAGGACTCGTGGGGCTCTGCCAGCTCATAGTGCTCGCTGCCGAGGCCTGGAGGGCCTGCCACTCTTCAGAGCCCAGCGGTCCGTGCACTAAGCCCACACCTGTCCTAGTGTGGGATGGAGTTAGTAAGCAGTCACTGCACCTTCCACACCCAGGGCCTCCAGGACCGACTCCCGTTTGCCTTTGTACTGGAGGGTGTGCTCAGAGCGAGACGTTTCTGGCCCCCAGGGCCCCACACCCCAAGTGCCAGGCTCTGCCGGCTGAGCACCTTGGGCATTACAGGGGCCTCACAGTCCCCGGTCCCCTGCCCAGTCCCAGGTGGGCCGGGGGCTGCACCCTAGGAAGCCAGGGTTTTCTGACCACACAGGGAAGTCTGGGGGTGGCGGCGGAGCTTGTACAGAGCACACGGAGGGACAGTCCTAGCACGGGCTTGATGAACAATCTCCACAGTGGTTTGGTTAAAAAGGCCCACTCGTTCCCAGGGAGCTGGCGGGCAGCTGTGGGGCCCTGGAAACAGCAGGTCTTGGGGAGAAAACAGGGCTGGTGCCATCTTCTGTGCTGTCAAGAGAAGGGCCTCAGAGGCCAGGGGTGTCCCAGGAGCCCTGGAAAGACAGCAGGAGGGGACAGGAGCTCTGCAGCCCACAGCGCGACCTCCGTCCCTCACCTGGGGGAGGAATTACATGCTGTCACTTGGGTGTCTGCAACCTCTTCCCGCCCTGAGAACTGTTTCACAACAAGAAATCTTGCAGCTCGGGCCAGAGGGCGGACTGGGCTGGTTCCACAGGTTCAGGACCAGATGCCAGGCAGGATGTTTACCATTTCTGTTTTATCTTGCACACGTTTGTCCAGGCAACCACGGTGCCCAGCGTCCACCCCGCTGACATCACGCTGTCCCTGCAGTCCCAGAAAGCTGCCCCACCCAGAGGCTGTGGTCAGAGGGGTGGGGCGGAGTCACCTACCCCTGGCATGAGCACCAGGCTGGGTGGTGGTCAGGCTGCCCCTGCTCAAGCCAGACCGGGTTCTATATAGTTTCCTTTCCTCAGGGCCAGAATCCCCACATGGATTCTTGTGTTCATTTCCTGGGCTGTGGTAACAACGTACCACCAGTGGCATGACTTTCAAATTAGACATTTATTGTCTATCACTTCTGGAAGCCAGGAGACCACCACCAGGGGCTGGCAGGGCTGCTTCCTTCAGAGGAGGTGCTGGGCAAATCAGGCCACCCAGCATCTAGTGGCTGCTGGCGACCTTCCGCACTCCTTGGCTTGTAGAAGCATCACCCAAGCTCTGCCTGCACCTTCACATGGCATGGGTCACCCACAGTGTTCCCGTGTGGCCCAATTTCCCCCTTGGTGGGACAAGAGTGGCCCACCCCACCCCAGGGTGGCCTTGAACTAACCAGTGATATCTACAATGACCCAGTTTCCAAATAAGTCATATTCACAGGTCTTGAGGTTAGGGGTTTGACATATGGATTTGGGGGGACTCACAGTTCGGCCATATTAGTACTTTGTTTTGCGGGTGCTGGGGATCAAACATGCCCTGGCCATGACGGCAAGGCCTCTTCTGCTGAGCCAACCCGGGCCTGGCCCCTAGGGATTCTTAACCAACAGTGGGGCTGGGGTGATTGAAACATTTGATCCCAACTCTCTTACCTCATTTGTGGCCTGAGGGGGCGGGGGCTTCTTTTACTCTTCTTTAATACAGTAGGAAGCTTTTTCTCTTTGTTGAGAAGCAGGAAGCTTACTTTCTAAATAAAGAAGGGCTCCCCACGGTTGCTCCTGGCTGGGAATAGAGCACATAGACTTTCACTGTTACTTGAGAACAAAGGTTCTTGTCATAGCCTATGAACCCTGCCTCCTTCCCAAGAGAAAGTAAAACGAGACACCTCAAGGTGGGGGCTCCTCAGCCCCTCGGGGGAATCTGACCAAGTGCCTCTCTCAGTGGCCCGCATGTGAAACTAATAAAATGGGATGATTTTTGGTGGAAATGGGAGTGGGCACTGGACAGTTTCCCTGGGGGACAGCCCTGGGCTTCCCACACCAGCCTTTGTAAACCTCTGAGGGCCCCTCTGAGTGCACCCGGGCTTTGTGTGTGTCCTGGCTTCGATCTAACATGTCCCCTGAAAGTCCCATGTGTTTGGAAGGTGATCCGATGCACTCATCAATGGGTTCATTCACTGATGAGTTCATGGCTGAATACGCTGCTAGGAGGTAGGGCAGCCCAGCTCCTCCCTTCTCTGCTTCCTGGCCACCATGACGTGAGCAGTTCTCCTCTACCCAGGCCCTTCCACCATGCCATTTCAGCCTTGGGGCAGCCAACCATGGACTGAACCCACTGAAGCTGTGAGCAAACTAAACCTCTTACTTTAAGTCGTGGATGTTGGGTATTGTGCCCAAGGGATGGGGGAGTGACTAATAATACCTTGTCTAAGATCACTCTAGGTGGTGCTTCTAGGACAGCACCCCTCAGACCCATCCCACATGCTCCAGCCTCCAGCATGGAGGCCTTTACTGGGTGCCCTCCTAGGGGCAGAAGCCGGTGCTTAGCAGAGCACAGGACCAGCCCCAAGGGTGCCTCCACCCACCCCAGCACTGGCCCCCCAACCCTGGCTGCAGACTCCACAGACAGCCCTGTGCACTGGGTCCAGCCACAGCTGCACACATCTGGCCATAAACACAGCCACCTGCAGATGTAGGGAAAGATGGGCTCCTGCTGAAGATGCTCCACGCTCTGCAGAGTGAGAGCCCTCCTGGCCATCGTACCACTGTGGCTGGCCAGGCTCTGACTCACTCCCTATGAGTTGCAGGACTTGGAAGTAATGGGATCAGTGAAAATTATTCATCAAATGTGACACTGAAATCGCCTGGCAAGATCAAGCTTCAGAACTGAGGGTGCAAACACCTTCTGTGCATCAGCAAGAGGGCACAGGAGGGGACAGATGTCCCAAGAGCTGCTGGGGCTGGTTCTGAGATCCTGGCCTTTGGTCCCCAAACACCAGTGTTCTCCTCCTCTCCTGTGTGTCACCAGGCTCTTGGGAGGAAATCCAAGCAGACATTTGATTAAAAACATAAATGTTCTTTGACAAAGGAGCCAACCACCCTCACTGGAGGAAAGATAGCCTATTTAATAAATGGTG